GATACCCCGAACAGAGGGTTCATAGGCAGACGGGTAAGACGGGCGGGCAGAGGGGGGAACAAAAAGACGGGCAACGTTTAGAAGGCGGCAAAGAGGGAGGCAGACTGACAGGGGAGAGGCGGCCGCGGGGAGCAAAAAAAAGCAGACCAAAAGAAAGCAAACACGCTAACCAAAAAAAAAAACAGGAGGGAGGCAGGAAAGAGGGGAGTGAGCGGCACAACACACGGAACTCTCGCCCCTTGCCCCGGGAATAAACGAGTGATACACCACACGGGATGACCGTGTACTGCAGCGGTAGGAACAGATTCGCGGTTCACTTCCGACCGCAGGGCTGGGATCGCGCAAACATCGTGTCCCTGCGCGTACATTGAAGAAACCATGAATGTATGCACATGTCCAACGTTCCGCACGAAGCACACGACCGAGACGTCGTCACCGTGTTGCCCACGGAGGGAACCTTGTAAGCTGAGGTGCTCCGCGGCAATATGGATGGTCCGTGAGCGCCGCCAAAAAAAACGAGGACGTCGTGTTCCCTCCTTTGGTTTCGCGGGACACGCGTCGTGCCCGTGCGCGTGCGAAATTGTCATTGTGAAGCTTGTTCTCAAGGGTTTAGAAATTCATGGTTAACCTCCGACCGAAGTCAACAGCAGAACAGCAACAAGCGAAGCACACACTTCCCCTCCTGTGAGAACAACCAGTGCTCCGTCCTCTCGAGGTCAACCGTCTAACCGCCAAGGCATACAAAACATTAGAGATCATCCTCCCCCCCCCTCCTGCGGGAACAATGCCCAAGTCCTCTCGAGGACGCGCGGTCAACGGTCTAACCACTAAGGCCTGCCAAGCATGAGAACGGCTCCCCCGACGAGCCCCACAGGACTCAGCCCCACGGCAGGCGCCCTCCCTCATTCTCTCACCTGCTGCTCCAAGGTCTCGGTCTCGTCGGCGAGGACGACCTCTCTTATCCCGCCCGCCGCCGTGAGCCTGCCGGCGATCAGGCCCGCGATGCCGCCAGGAGGGCCGCACACCATGACCTTGGCGTCGTCCCCAGGCCCGGCTATCGCCATCTTCGTCGCCGCCGCCGCCATCTCAGACGGTCTCCTATCCAGGGGGGGGACGGGGGGACGGCGGATGGGAGAAAAATAACACCCGCTCAAAAGTTGAACACTCCATAAACAGACTCACTGGGAGTGTTGAAATTTCGAACCTTCCCATATAAATCAGGAGGGGCAGAATGCTTCTTGTCTTTGGCGGGTCGATTTCTTGTTTCTGAGACATCCGGGGGTTACTCCTTCCCAGTGTGGTTGGTGTGCACTTACGACCACATCCCTCGTAGGCCGATAACGCAGTTGACGAAGGCGTTGGGTCTCGTGGGGGCAACGAGGTCAGCATGCGATCCACTTCGTCGCCATCAAGGGGGCATGTCGGTTCTTCGGCATGCGACCACTCTGATTACACTGGAACGGCGCAAACACGTCTCTTTCTCTCTCTCTCTCTCTCACACACACTCTCCCTCTCCCTGTCTCTACAAGTAGTCTTACACAATAGCGCGATCACGAGCAGAGGGCCACCGGGGCTTTGCTGCTGCTTCTGCTTCTGCTGCTGCTGCTGCTGCTGGCAGCGCAGCTTTTCAAACTGCTACCTGTGGGTCCAAACACCCCGCACGTGGCCACGCCACCACGCGTCCATCAACGCTCACGAGAGAGAGGACGGCCTGCCCAGCCTCCAGTCGGTTTCAATCCACTTACTGAAAATACTTCACCACATCCCTTTCGGCTGAGGTTATATCTCGAACGGGTAGTCTTTCTGTGAGGTCATGTTTTACTTTCTAAAAAGTGGGCGCGTCGCCTCTTCTGTAACCTCGGGGGCCTTGGGCACACGCGCAGTCTGTCTTCTCTACGTTTTACCAGGTACAAATTATACACGTCGTGCAGAGCAGCCCCACAGCATAGTGGTGTTGACATAGGACGAAAGCGAAGGAAAACTCTGGATTCACGACAACAACAGAAGCAGCGGGACTGAAGCACTACGACCCTCATGGGCCTAAGATGTGGTTTCTAGGAAGTGCTAGTGGGTGTGGCGGAGATTTTTGCGCGTGAGCGGGAGCGTAGGGGTGATGAAGGCCTGTGTTGCGCCGCTTGTTTCGTCGGGAACATGTTGCCAATTGAACCAAAGATCACTCAAATATCGCAGAGGTGTAGCTCAACCCGGCCGCCCGGCCGCCCGGATGCACGGAGAACATCTGCCGTTACAGAAACATTGCACCAGTCTCAGCAGGGCTCACTGCTGGAGTGTACGCGCAACATGGGAGTCTTCATGTTAGCCGCTGGGGGGCGTGCATGTTTTGCAGCTCCTTCTTGGAGCAGCACCGACTCATGTTGACAGCAGCAGCAGCACACACACACACACACCTGCCGACGCTCGCCCTCCTCCCTGCCACCAACACATCCACGCCACTGCTTCGTGAGAATTTCGTGGCACCTCTCGTTGGAGCCTGTGCCACGAAGGCTCGCGCCGGTGGTGCCAATGCGGCGACGGCCAGCGTCGCGCTGGCAGCGGCAGCGAACCTCATACTGCAGTGATTTGATCGAAGTGTCCTGAGTTCCGGCCCCTCCGCTGCTCACAGACGTGGGGAGACCCTGTCCTTCGTTATCTTGTGCGTGGTCAACCACCACGTGCGATTGTCTTGCCGTCTGACTCCTGTGCCGTCGTTTCTGCTTTGTGGGGTTGGCGTATCCCTGTGTCCTGCTCACAGCTGTGGAGCGGCGTAAACGGGGGGCCGCGCAGTCTGGGAAAGCAGGTACCCCCCATTGGCGACCAGTCACGCACTACATGATGATGCGACATGCCGACCCTGCCGGCGTGCCAACAGTAGTTCAGAGTCTCTATCTCTCTCTCTTTGCAGCCACCTCGCATGTACACGCATCACGACACGGTAACCCCGAACGTCTTTTAGTACGCCGTACTTACTTCTGTGTGTTTCTCTCTTTTCTCTCGAGGGTGCAGCCGTTGGAGCAAAGATATTTGACGGTGAGTTCACGTGTATCCTTTGGTGCACCCCCCGGTCACTTGAATCGAAGCCAAATGTTATGACTCTTTATAGTACCAGTCATAACCTTTGATCGGAGCCACCATACGATACTGCTGTAGCGATCCGAGCACCAGACCAGAAAGAAGAACGCAACGTGGAGATTGAAGGCCCCCGTAATCCATCAAGGGCCCAATTGTCGATACAGATGGATGACACGCAGTGTTCGAGGTGGTATAATCTATGGAGTGGGGTTTGTGAGGGAGTCGAGTGCGCGCGTCGGTCGGGTCCGCGCGTTGGGCAAGCTGCCTGCATCGATATCTCCCCCACGTTGATGCCGGGCACCTAGGCGAGGCATGTTCTCGACGACAAAGCAGAGGCCAGCGTGTTTGGCGACAGCTAGCAAGGAACCTTGCGTCCGACCGTGACGCGGCTGAATTTGCTCATGTGCTTCACATCTCCGTCACGCTCCTCGCGTCCATCAAGTTACTCCTCCTCCTGCGTTTTCTCCCCATGTCCTGCCTGCCTGTGGGGTAAAATATCGGGTGTCCTCGTGAAAATTTCTCACCATGGTTACGCTTGTCACGGCACTGCAGTGGACTCCGCGGTGGTAGCAACAATTTGTTGGGCGGTTATTAGCCAGCAAGGTTTACTCCGCACGGAAACTGGCCACGATGGTAATCTTGTACCGTCCCAAAGTCGCCAACGCCCTTGGCGCTGAGCGAGATCGACCAAGGTCATCGTCAAGCACCTACTCCACCACAACTTCCGTCAGTGTACTGTCGGATTTTGCGGGAGTCTGGCCGCGCTTCCACCGGTAACCTCTGTAAGCTCGCAAAATCGAAGTGTTATACGGGAGGTTTCATCACTTCCACGACCTTCCACCCAGGCTTCCATTGTTTCCGTGAAAGCTTCCACGAAAGCAACACTCCTGCTCCCATGAAAGCTTCCACTACATACAGTAGTGGCAACTTCCGTGGAAGCTTCCACCAGAACCAAGATTAAAGTGGAGGAGACCCCTACCACGTATGTATATCCTCACTGAAGAAAACAACGCACGCCTTCGAACGGGGTATCATCTTGAAAGATAGGCAGTCTTTCATAGACAAAACGGTGGTACGTAGTATCTTCTCAAGAAAACAAGACCATTTGGCCAAGAAGGGGATGGAGGCGAGTTGGTCGCGAAAAGACGAGAACCATGAGCATCTGTCCATGAACAACACAAACACCAGCAGCGAAAAATAGAACAAAATATACAACACGGACGGACGCCTGGAAAATCACTCGCCGCCGTCACCATCTTCGTTGTTGTCGTCGCAATGAATCGGGGTGTCGTTGCCGTCGTCGTCATCGTCGCCTCCGGAACTGTAGTCCATCCGGGGTGCCGCTACGGCCATACTGAGGAGAAGATGCGATATCACCGAACATCCTGTCCACCCTACTCCATCGGCCTCCACACATTCGGAGCGCGGCACGACAGAACGAACTTACGGTTTGAGAACTTGAGCCTACAAGAAAATGGTCAAGAAAATCTAAAGAGCTTGGCCACAAGAACAGGTAGGTGCTGAGCCACGAAGCCTACACTTAAAACCTACAGAGTCGGTCTACCCCATACACAAAACAAGAGGTTATTGAGTCGTGGCGCGTTCGGTGCCCGCGTTCTAACTCTCCCTTCCTCCTTCAACACGCCCACACGTAAAGCCTGGCCCTCTGCCGACGCCGCCCTTGCCTCCAAATCGCTACGACTGCCTTCCTGCGCCACGATGAAGTGAAGACAGCTTGGCAGCTGGTGTCACGACAACATGCGGGAAGGAGCACACGACGCACAGACTACTACCCGGCGGGCTGACTACGGCAACAAAAAATAATTCATAAAAGACAAGACAAAAATGTTCAGGGTAGAACCCCACCTACAAAAATGTGACACAGTAGTTGACCCGAACTCAAAAGTCGTGCATGAGCAGCCATAACCTGCCGCCACATAAGAAAAATGAAATCGTTCTCGCAGCAGTGTGCTGCGGCACACAAAATGAAACTGTGTCCCAACACGTCCATTTCCGATCGAAAAACAAGATTCAATCAAGACGCCCGCGTGTTCGAGAAAAGAAAAAGCCGGGCAAAAAAGCGGACACAACATATGTTTCACATCGTACATACTCCCATTGGGCGCCGCCATGGCACACGGCAGACCCGCATGGGTCCTACAGGAAGGAGTTTCAGCCTTGCCAGTACATGTTACTGCAAAAGAAGGGTGCGAATGATACATGCTGTATGGTACAGGACAACACGGTGCACACGCCGAAAACGAAGAAAACTGCGGTGTGTGGTGTTTGGCCAGAAACAACAGAAATACACACAGTAAAAAGAAACAAAAGAACGACACAACAACAACGCACCGGCCGGCAACGCGTGACCGCTGAACGTACAGCGCTTCGAGCGGATTACTCTTCTGCCTGCTCTCCATAACCTTTGATCATCCAACCTCTGACCCCCTCCCCCCCCCCCTCCCGTTCTTGCAACTAGCCCTCATTGCCCGCCGGCGCAGAGCACACAGAGTCACGAATAATGTACAAGCAGACGCCGCGATCGCCCCATGCTCTCGGCCAAACACTGGCCTCCATTTTATGCACGCCACAAAAACACGTCCACGTGCTCTTCGGGACGGCAGAGACCGGTCATCGTCATTGTCGAGGGGGTGATAGCCACGCATCCGCCCATCAAAAACACCTTCCGTCTCCACGTTCTCCAAAGCTCTTGTCGGAAGCACACACACCACGTCAAAAACCAACACTCCGGCGCTACACGCCCGCCCTCCGCATACTACCTCTCCGGCGTGCGTGCACAACAAGCCAGCCTCGCGTGCTACGACAGCATCTATCTGGGCATCACCGAATGCATCTCCAGCCTGCGTGCACGACAAGCAAGGCTCCCTAGCCACGAGCGTGCGACGACAGTATCCATCTGAGCACCACCGCACTACATCTCGGGGCTGCGTGCAAAACAAACCAGCTTTGCGTGCTACTACAGCGCCAATCTGGGCATACCACCGAATTACACCACGTGCACAAAAACTCAGCCTCCCTCGCCACGAGCATGCTACGACAGAGCACACGCATCTATCTGCGATTGCTTCTTGCCGTCATGCTGCTGCTGCTGCCGCCCCTCACTACGTGGACGTGAACTTGGAGATCGAGGTGCGGAGGTGCTGCAAGTCCCCGAGGTTCTGGGAGGCGAAGTTGAGCTGCTTCAAGCGCGACTTGGGCAGCTTCACCGTGAAGAAGTAGAGCGGGGTGGGATGACCCTTGAACGATTTCACCTATTTACAACACAACCATAACCATGTTTTCGGTACGAGAAAGGGGGCGCGGGCACGGCGTTGAGAAGTATGCATGTGTGTGTGTAAGGCTGCGGCGGGGAATCCCGTCGCGATCCCAGCAAAGACGTCGAACGTTGGGCGTTCGACAAACAGAGCGAAGGGTGCCTTGCCCGGGGTAAGCCGCGAACTAGATCCAAGCGACACGAAGCCGGAAAGCAAGCGCCACGCATCAGCGACAAACACTCACAAAAGCACGACGGCCGCGAACAAAAACAAAACAAAAACAAAACAAAAACAAAGCAGGACGCATCCGACACACAGCGCACACCGGGCCAAGACACTGCCACGCGCGTCTCGCAAAACGCGGGGAAAAGACGAACGACCTGCTCTCTTCTGCAGCTTCAAAAACTCACCTTTATCGGTCCACACTTGAAGAGGTTGCTGAGCTTGTACGCCTTGACTCTCTCGTTGATTCGACGGTTCTCGAACACAGCTAGCACCATACGGTCGTAACTCTGCCGAGCGAGCACGCAAGGGCGGCGGCGACGGCGCTCGTCGGCGAACCAATTGTGTCGCTCGCTACAACCATGACGACTACGTGAGTGCGTGCTAACGGGGGATGGCCGTGAAGAATCTACGCGAGACGCTCACGCTGCCGGCATGACGCATCTTGTTGTGATCTGAAGGGCGTGATATCACCTCCGAGCCGCTTACTCTGCCACAACACGACGAAAAAAAATGCAAAAACACCGTGCGGTTCGATGCCGCTCTCGAAGATGGGACGAAGAAACAACGAACAAAACTACATCGATGACTAGATTTGACTCACTGCGAACACATTCGTCTCACCTTGTGCGTTTCCACTACACGCGTATCAAACACCACGGGGGGAAAGAGAAAATGAGTTCAGCCGGCATCTGTGTCGATGGCCAACTGCTCGAATGGGCACTACCACGGGACAGGTTTCTGCGACACGACATGACAGGCACGTCGCAACACATGACATCACAGCGGCCGGCAAAAATGATAACAACAGCAACAGCAAACAAGCAAAACTCCACCACCTCCACCACCTCCACCAACAACAACATGACAAACACATTCCACCTGCATGGAATGAATGTAGAAACCCACCTCTACACCCCACACCCCACCTGCTTGGAAACGTAGACCTGCAGGACGTGGACCTTAGCCACGGCGCCCCCCAGGACGAAGTACCGCCTCTGCCATGCGGAATAACTCCGAGGAACCCCAACCGTCTTCTTGAACAGGATCTGGCCCACGTTGTCTTCCTGCTCCAGCTGCCCGCGTTCGAACTCGACTCGCAGCGGCCTCGCTGCGTTCTGCAAAAACAATTTTTCGGGTTGATGATTAATGAGTCGCAAGCTTTGTCGACACATAAAGTAGGAGTTCATATTTCCGAAATAGTCGCAAGAAGAAACGGGGATGAAAAAAAAACGTTACATGCCACCTGGAAGAGGGAGCTTCGAAAAAAAAAAAAAAACGTCGCGCATACCGACCAAGCAAAACCCCGGGAAGCGGGTTGGTTGGCTGACGAATCCGATCTCGGTCTTCCGAAAATTCTCGAGAGAATGTCACATATGCAGCAAAGCAAAAGATGAGCCTGCCCGTGTTGTGTGCGTGTAGACTACTTCCCTCCAGCGCTGTGTGCCCACGCCGTTGCCCATCGATAAACTCCATTGTTTTCAATGATAGCCGGCTTGTATCAGTACAATAGCGGGCGTGCATCACTACCAGCTCGAGAGGTCTACACGGGGAAAAGCTGGCACTTGTAACGGCCCTCCCGTCAAGCGTTCCACGTGTTATTGTCAGCATTGCCCACCTTGATGCACTCCAGCGTCTGCTGATAGGTTAGCCCCTCGACCGTGTCTCCGTTGACCCGCTTCACCTTGCTCCCCACCGTCACTCCCCGTATCTGCGCGCACACAGTCAGCGTTCACAGATCGAACCAAATCGTCATGAAAAAGACGGCCACGACAATAACAGAGGCTGGTGGTAACGACAGCCGTCGCAGGAAAAGAAAAAAAAAAAAATGGACGCAGAAAGCCAGTGCTGTTGTCGTACGCTTTCGTACATGCGGAGTGATGTCGAGTGAAAAACAACTGTCGCCGTTTACTCTCTGTTCCGTGCGATTCCTGCCATCGCGTTGTGAGGGGTTGCGGAAGCAGCAGCAAGAAGGGCACAGGCGAAACCCTCGCTCTAGATGACGTTCAAGGAACCGGAGCAGTTCTCCCGTGGGGTTTCCGCGACCGATTACACATAACGCGTGTCAAAGATTGCACCAGGCAACCGAGCGAGCAAGCACTTGCCCGTGGGTGAGGTGTGCTGAGCGGGTCTCGCAGGGGTAAATCTCCTTCCCGACAACCCACAAATAGCGCGGCAGGCAGGGGGCAGGCTTCAATATCTCCTCATACGGCTACTACAAAATTCTTCGCGCGGACAGGGAGAAAATCACCGGGGGGGGGGGGGGGGGGGGGGGGGGG